TATAAGCTTGAACCCTAAAGAGAATGACCAGGAAACCAAGGAAATGATAGAAGATGACGTTCTGTGCCAGAAGGAACGATTAGGGTTCGAAGTACCTAATTGAGATCGATAGGTGGAAAGGTAGGTGAAGCGGCCAACGAATACAACAAAATTAAGACGATTTACACTTCAGAAAGACCGACTGAGCAAGTAAGTGCCGCTCGGAGCTACAGGTCGAATAAGTGGATGGTAGGTGATGAGAGTGCGAAGCACAAGAAATTCTTATTTTGCGCATGAAGGCGTCGGCTGAGGACACACCAAGACTTTTGTTGGAGGGACGACGATATTCTGGTCCAGAGAGGCTCCCACAGCATCCTCATTCCTGATGGCATCAGTTGCTGTCTCCCGTTGAATGCGAACAGCATTTATATGAGGAGAGGATGAGAACGAGAACTGTACAGTTGGCACATCAGTAAATTCGACGTAGTAGAGTTTTTCAGACTTACTCTAGAGTCTTCAAATTCAACTGTTCTATTGACAATCTCGGCTAGCTCCTTACGAGCGACTAGTGTATAAAGGAGGGACTTGTGTAAAGCACTCAACCAGGTGAAAGGTATCAAGGGTGTACTCAGCTTACATTTGAATATACCCTCCCTTTGGGCCAGGCGAATATCAGATTAACATGAGTATTGTTCCAGAAGACAAAACTCGCAAGGTTGGCTATAGCAATAACGGAAGAGAAGAGACCAGACTGAATGGAGGCTTTGATGCATCGATTGACAACGGTATTCGTCCCCGGACATCCGGTCTTGCATCGCCAGAGCGACCTGCTGAGCGTAACTAGGGACATGAGATTAGGATGATTTAATAAATGTGTTATAATATGTTACCGGTAATAACAATATCCACACAGGCTACAGTGACGAGCCAAACGATCACTAGAGGAATGACCGGAGCTAGTTTTTTCGCGCTGAAATGCAATGAGATCCTCGGAAACGACACAAAACAACAAACCTACTCAAAAATAATTCCGCACCAAGCGCTGGCAATTGTACCACACACACATGCCGTAACTGCAGCTAAAACGAGGGTAATACAAAGCCAAATCTGTCTTGTAAGTCGGTAGAGACTTAAAAGGAAAATGTAAGAATGAGCTGCACGCTAATAAGGATTCTGTGGCACACCCACCGATTTATCAAGAACGTCTGAACAATCAACGCAGAAATGGCAGTGGTGGCACCGCAAAATGGCAACATCCAGAAAACATCTATCATAGTGGAATCAAAAAAATGAAGACAAGAAAGAATGAAACACTGACAGTTCAAGACACTGGGGTTTGCGTAATTTTTAACCCTGGGTTGACAGGCTAGTCAACCCCATCTGAACTTTCAGTTCGATGATCTACTTACAGAAAGTACCAAACAGTATAAAATTGCACCGCCGTCTGAGATGTGTCGACGATAAATAGGATTGCAACAAGAACCCTGCACTTGAGTCAGATTAAAGTTTCAATCAAAGATTGAGAGCAGCTCGCGTACCGAAGCCAAATTGGGTCCTCGAACTTCGTAGTCTTGTATGTCAGATACTGATTTAACACAAATGCATACAAAAAAACGCTGAACTGTGGATGATTCAACATTTCCAGGTAAGCAAATATGCGGACTCACTTGACCGAGAAACCAAGCAAGAAACCTCCTACAGACGGTGAAACACATGGCAACAAAGCAAAGAAAGGCGAACGTGCCAACAGTTAGATCGAAAGCACCCATCTGGCGAGGGAATGGTCATGGATTAGACTCTCAGTCTTATAAGCTCCACGGGACGGCGCCGGCGCCCCCCGCAGTGCAATGTGTATCACGGCCTCCAAACTCATGGGACCATGCAAGACACCTATAATAGAATACACCTCCGGTCATTGAGTCATTTCTGGTGACCTTATTCGTGTTTATTGGATTTTAAGCTTTTGGGTAGATTCTTTTTTTGGCACTACTCAAACCACAATGCCTGCACAATCAAAGTAGAGTCACCGAGAAATCTTCTGTATCAACAATTCGTGGCCACACGGAAGCGTCCGAAGCAATGGTACAATAGGTGATGATGGCTTCAGTTCAAAGATCGGGATGTTCTCCTAAGCTCGACACGGGCCCATTTGTTTTCTGGTGGCTCCAGAGCAGTACGATTTTGACACCGAGCGACTTTTCGTTTCCACATTTCTCGTGCCATAAAGACTGAGACAGCAACCACTGTTCACGCTGATGCAGAAAATACCCTCGTAACTAGTACAAGCCTGAGAGAAGTTATCCCCATAAGCAGACCCACCTCGAGGAACCTGGTTGTCGACTTTGATTTAGGCCGCGAGGAGGACCACGAGTCTCATCGCGAGTGCAAAGATCATGAGACCAAAAACTTTGACATACTCGGGCAAGCATATTTTGTAAGTATCGTAGAATGTCCTAATCTCATACAGAATATGGATGGAAGTTGGAGACCATGCCGTGACAGCCCTGTCTGGAGCCTAGTCCAACCCAAAAAAGAGAGAGAGAGATGGTGGATACAGAGGGAAAGAAGTGTCATCCAGCTCGGATCCCGGATCTTCTTGGGTGAGTTTCGTCCGTGAGGGAAGAAGACAAGAAAGCTGTCTGGCGCATCGGTCTCATTTGAAGTGCTACCAAATATACAGTACTCACAGACAATGAGAAACGTAGAGAACAGTGGATAGTTGAAAAAAAGTCTCATTCACGCAAATAATACAAAAGCCAAGAAAATCACGAGGCAGATCTGGAGACACCACTGACCTATTCATTACATAGCCAATATCTTGGCTTGGAGTAATCATGCACTGTAAGGACCCTTGAAGAAGGCGTTCAAATGTGTCCAACAAAAATTATCCTTGGCACTCACGAAGGGGTGGTGGGAGAAATGCATGGGCTGTGGCATGGGAATTTCATTGCTGCTCCAAGCACTTAGACCAGGATGCCAACCATCGGGGTCTGGTATATTAGATGGAGGTGCAGCCCCAAAACTGATAGCGTTCTTGAAACCACGATATAAACATGTTTGATGATATGATCAATTAGACTCACATTTGGGTTGTGAAAATAGGGCAGCGATTGAGGTACCAAATTTCTAATACCACCCCAGATGTCAAGGTTAGGTTCTAAACCGCCTGACTGTGGTGGCTCACGGATCGGGGAGATTGTTACGATAAAGAGAGTTCTTGAAAGAGATAAGCTTCAAAACGCAACCGACGGTGTGGCACACCAGACTTACATTTGGAAGAAATTCAGGCATCAGCTTTTCTGGCATAGAGCTTCCAATACCACTCCAGTCATGGAAACTGATTTTCTGGTTCTTTGGTTTCGGGAGACAGTTGAATGATGGTGGCGAATGTTTATCTCGTGGAATGCTCTTGGGGAGAAGATGTTCAATGTGAATGTATTTTTCGCACTCACGTTTGACTTGTAAAGCGAATTACTCTTTAGAAGCAGGGTGTTTGGCATTCTCTTTAGGTAATTCAGTATTCTTCCGATTAATGCTGGTATTCCTCCCCGGCAAAGTTCGCTTTTCCTCGACATCGGCCTCGCGCGTCACTTGCCATTCCATGGCTTTCTTGCTCTCTCGGATAGGCTCTTGAACTTGCCGATGCTGCCCCCGCATCCGGTCTCTTGTATTGAATAAAGTGAGCAGCGAAATTCGCGGATAACTCTGCCTGCCAACCAAGGCCAGGATCTTTGAGAAGATCCTCGTCAAAAGGTAACATGTTCTGGAGGTAAGGTGCCGTTTGTTGAATTCCTTTACACGCCGTCCAGCAAACGAAATTTGGATCAATGGTGGAACTCGGGCGAGGCTCGAAGATGGCGAACACTCTCATCTTGTCAATAGGGATGTATATGCAGACAATAGTTTCTGGTGGGCGTGTTAATATGACAGCGTTGACAAAATCGCTTCGACTGAGTTGGCTGAGATGGTGTTATTAATGAAATGCGAAATGAAGGGTCGAGCAAGTGCGAATGACGCACGAAAGCATGCCGCGAAATCCTACAATCGATATGGGACAGTAGGACATCCCAAAGCGTCAAAGAATACTTAAACAAGGGTGCATTCCGAACAATGGTGCCAATCTCGGAGAGGGAATTAGTCGTCCACTCGGCACATGTTGAGAGGATTTCCTACAACCAGTATGGTTAACCTTTTTGGGTATTTAAATGAGGGAAAGCGAGCTAACCTCAGTAGTTTGTTTCTCCAATAGATTCTGCAAGAGATCTTTACCCTTGAGTCCACTCTCATGCCTTTCGAAGAGAATTCTGGTACAATTGAGTGAGGCAACTTCCGAGGTTGAGAAGCTCTTGAGGAGTTCATGGCCGCGAAAACCTGCGTGACAAATGACTTGGCTCGATCCACGGCGGAGAGCATACATATCGATATTGGAGGTATCTTTCATAGTGCTCAATTACAGAAATTGAGAACGCGAAATTGAGAGGAGAGGAGATGTATGAGGCTCATCCAAAGGTATAGCCTCAACAGCACGAGGGAAACATGAGAATGTCTGCCGTTCAAGATCCATATTTGTAAATTGGTCAGGTGTCCTTCTTCTGTTGCTCGCTGGCGCTTGTATGTTGCTTCACAAAGTTTCATTTGTTTCGGCGACAGCAGGCCGCGTTAATACCATTCGTTGGTGGAATCCATGGGTAGTGGCTCGAGTGTGTGGAGTGCCTAGATGGCGTGGATTCTTTCGGAGGAGTGGGCCGGCATGAATCTTGGAGCAAGCCGATTGAAAGGAAGGAGCCGATTCGAGGAAAGTTGTCCCATGGCTGTCTATCAGCTCCAGAGAAAAGTAAAAGTTGTGAGCTTGTCAACAGAAGATAGTCCCAGGAAGTTATTTTCCTAATATTTGTCACAAGAATGCGGAATGCTGAGGTTCATCATGGTGGCTAGTGCCAAGGGGTGAGTTGTGGACGGCGCCAAACCTAACCGCTCGTTCCTGCACAGGTTATCAATACGCCTCGTGTTACATTCGCTAAGCATTAATGGGGTAGTGGTAACCTCAGTCGTTGCCATTCAATGTGCACGACTCGACTGGCCCTGGGTTCGATTCCCAGTTAATGCATAATTTTTTGGCTTCATACGTCTCCTTTGCTCTTTGACGAGGTTACATAACCAGCAGATAATGAAGAAGCAATAATTGGTAAGGAACGAAAGAGATGCCCGATCAATACATCACATCGAATTTTTAGGTTGCGTTGTGGCGGTTACTCTCCATTCTTCTGTTTGCTTCCTTCCCTCATCCACTTATGTTTCGTGTGTCGTTCCTTTCTAGGCGCTGTATGCATTTTCCTTGTCATCTCTACCTGTGTATCTCGTATGTGGCTAAACACAGCTAGGTGTTCAGCTGTCTGTTCCTTCCTCACAACGCCACCTACCAATAACGTCGACCTTAACTCGCCGAACATTTCATCGTCCAAGCCATAGCCCGACGAGAACATCATTTAAAGATTTATACCCATATTCTCAAACTTCGAGATCGAGTTTCTGGTCGAGAGTTTGGCTAAGGAAGGACGGGTCGAGGAGGAGTTGGAAGGTTGGTCTTGGGTTAAGTGAGCTTTTTGATTTCTCCCTGTTTATATACACAATCTTATTGTTGGCGTTTAGCCGCAATATTTGGAATTTGCGCTCTTTTTACTGTCAATGCTGTTTCCCTCATTGAAGAGCTGGAAACTGGTAGCAACGACCTTGGTGCAATACTACACATTGTGTTTCTGGACCAAACTTCTTTCGAGACCGCTTTTCCTTCTCCCTCCTCTGATGATAGTTCATCATCTTCTGGAGAAGACCGCTGGGATTCAGAAGCGACAGCTTGGTCAGAATCCTCATACCGTCATGCCCTTTCCCACTACCGATCTGTCCTCCTCTGTAACCTTCATAATCCTGGAGGAGATGTAGCGGAAGATGAAGACGAGCAAGAAGACAACGAGAAGATCACGAAACTACTGGACGTATTCCTAGGCTACGTCTGGTCAATGGACCAAAACACCTCCATCCCATCTGACAAACGAGAAACGGCGCGCAAAACGGTGCAAAACGCATGTTTAGACGTTCATGATGTTATTAGACAATGTCGAGAGCACATGCAGGCTTGGAACAAGAGAGAAACGAGTATCGGTTTAAGGACTTTTGGAGATGACGAGTCAGCACAGGCTAGGTTCCCTCCACCTGCGTTGCGAGATAATAGACGTGTCGCCCCGTGGGAATTGTGCACTGCTGTGAACCTCGTGTTGACAGCATCACTCTTACAGTTGGGTGCGTTAGTTGTGGATGGTATGGAAGGAGGAGAGTCTGGTCAGATTGTGAAGCAATTGTTGGAATTGGATGTCTTGTCGAAAAAACCGAAGGACAGAGATTACGAGCAGGTTGGGTCATAAATACTAGCCGACTATGTATGAGGCAATACATGGGACATTGGTGACACGAAGTATGTAAGCATGAGTGTGGATTCTGTCCAAAAAAGGTGGAAAACGGGGTGACGTCAAGCGCTGGGTCAGCTTAGCATCACTTCCCAAACTTTCATCTCAGCTAAGACCCCAGTCTCAGAGAGAGCTGGGCTCCGGCTTCTACAAATTCTGAATGTCGTATCTACGACGTTCTCTCCGTGCTGCGAATTCAGTGTCTCGGCACCACCGCCAGCACCTTCCTCATACCCGTACTCCGTTACACCGGCAGTTCACATCAACTTCTTCACGAAACAATGTTTACTACGACAGAGTCCTTTTAGCATGTAAATGGACGGGATATCTCGCAGCCTCTTCGGTCGTTGGTGTAACTATGCTTGTCGCTGGCTTATTCGCGCACGATGCGTTGACCTACACGGACAAACATGTTGACCGTGTGCCTGTCGCTCCTTTGGCGTTACATCCAGATACCGGAGGACCCAAGGATTTGCCAGTAGTGAGTTCGTATATTAATGATGAAGGTATGCATGGTCGTTTTCTTGACTAGTATGAGCTGATAATTAATTCCGTGTTTCAGAGGATGAGGAAGCTAGAGAGTTGTGCACAAAGCCTCGTGTGCGTATAGGTTTCCTTGGCTTGATTTATTATATGCCAAGCTCATTCGTCTCCACTTCAGTTGGTTATTGTTGGTGGTGGTTGGGGTGTAAGTCTTGCTCTGTAGTTCTTCAAACTTGTCCTAAACTCCATCTTAGGCAGTTGGCGTTCTCAATACCATAAAACACGGAGATTATCATGTCACGGTTGTATCTGCGGAAACATTCACTACATTCACTCCTCTTCTTCCTTGTACGTCAACCCTCCTTGACGAAAGATCTTTACTCACTTTGTTTGTAGCCGCCGTTGTTGGTACGGTTAACCCACGGACACTGGTAGAACCGTTGAGAAAGGTCATCGCACGACTTCGAGGGCACTTCATTAAAGGCAGAGCTATGGACATTATTATGGATCAACAATTGCTTGAGGTAGAACTTGGTGAAAAGCCTGGTGGGAAACGCGTTTATGTTCCGTGAGCCTTTTACTGCGTTCCTCTCAAGAATTTTCCCTCAACCATCTACATATTACAGATACGACAAGCTTGTTATCGCGGTTGGCTCAACAAGCAGCACTCATGGGGTACCTGGCCTTGAAAACTGTTTCCAATTGAAGACAATCATGGACGCACGAGAAATGCGACGACGGATCCTGGACAATTTTGAAGCTGCTGCATTACCCACTACTTCCCCGGAAGAGAGGAAGCGGCTTTTGAGCTTTGTTGTTTGTGGAGGTGGACCAACTGGTGTTGAGACTGCCGCGGAGATTTATGATTTCTGCCAGGAGGATATCATGAACTATGTGATTTTGATTCACCTATGATACGCTCTTCATTGCTTACTAGATTCTTTTAGTATCCTAGACTTGTCCGCGAAGAAGTTTCAATTCACCTCATCCAGTCTCGAGGGCATATTCTAAACACTGTAAGCTGTCGTTTCACCAGCGAACCTTAAAACTAACAGGTTTTATAGTATTCAGAAGCTATCTCCAAATTTGCTGAAGACAAGTTCGCCCGTGATGAAGTTAATGTGATTACCAATGCCAGGTATAAACTTTGCTTGTTCCCTGTGCAGAAACTTGAGATTTAATATTTCTCCCTAGAGTGTCCCTCGTCGACAAAGAATCCGTCATCTATACTCTCCGCGATCCCAAAACCGGCGAATCAACACAACATACTCTTCCGACCAACTTTGTCCTCTGGTCCACAGGCATAGCCATGAACCCCTTCACCCAACGCGTCGCAGACATCCTACCTAACCAAGTCCATTCAAAAGCTATCATCGTCGATTCCCATCTTCGTGTGCTTGGAGCACCTAAAGGGACTGTGTTTGCTGTGGGGGATTGCGCGACTATTGAAAAGAAGATTACAAATCATTTGTTGGATTTGGTTCAGGAGGCTGATAGAGATGGGAATGGAAAGATTGATTTTGGAGAGTGGGAGTTCATGGTTCAAAGGATTAAGCAGAAGGTGCCTATGGCTGAACAACATTTAGAGCATGTGAGTTTTATTTCCCTTGTACTTGTTCACTTTTGGCACTGCTAACGAATTTTTCTTTTATTGATGTAGGTGAGACAATTGTTTGAAATGTATGATTCGGATGCGGACAATTCGTTGAGTCTGGATGAACTTGTTCATTTATTGGAGGATGTGTCGAACAAGATTACTTCTCTTCCTGCTGTATGCCTTCTCTCTCTTTCTCTCTCTCTCTCTCTTCTTACCAATCTAACGAACACTTCATCTTTAGACTGCGCAAGTCGCTGCCCAACAAGGCAAATATGTCGGAAAGCTCCTCCATAAAGCAGCTCGTCTCCGCGAGTCTCCGTCAAAGTCAGGATCGGAAGACATTACAGTTTCCACTGCCTCATACAAACCCTTCCGGTACTATCACCTTGGATCATTAGCCTACATTGGCAACGCTGCTGTCTTTGACTTTGGACAATACTCGTTTATGGGTGGACTGGCTGCTATGTATGCTTGGAGGAGTGTCTATTGGAATGAGTCTGTTTCTTCAAGGACAAGGGCTTTGTTGATGATTGATTGGGTCATTCGAGGACTTTGGGGAAGAGATTTGTCGAGGTTGTGAGAAACAAAAGAGAAGAGCTGAAAATTACTTTGTTTCTACTCTTGACTCGACGTGGAATAGAAAACTTTTGGACTTTATTTTGGCTCCTATTTTGAGCTGAGGAATAGCCTCGTCCTGAGGTCTTTGACCTTCAGGGAAGAGAAGGTTCACAGCCTCACACAAGCGTGACTTGCAACCACCATCACCTCAAATGCCCATACCGGAAAACCTTGTCACTTTTATTCGTTCTCTCCGGTCTCGAAGAAAGGGCCACGATGTACAACTCCCATCACTTCAACCAGCAGTGCCGTTAGATCTTATTCCCATTATTTGCTCTTACTGTGATGCGCATTCCCTAACAGCAATTTGTCTCAGCAACAAGGCGTTTAATCTCGAAGCAAGCACTGTTCTGTATCGACACATGTCATTCAACGACTCTAGTGCTGTTGACCGTTTTCTTAGCAGTACAAGTCATCGCATTCATCTGATTAGACATCTCAGCCTTTGTATTTTGTATTCGTCATCAGACGCGAAGTCATGGATTCACTTGTTCTCCGCTCTCCGTTACAGAGCCCTCCGCCTTCTTTCCTTGAGGATTATGAGCCACAAGAACGGTCCTATGGCGAGTTCGGACTTCCAGGCTCATGCGGGTGCTCTCTTGTCTATTCCGTCTTTGGAATATGTTGCTGTTACTACGATGATGGTGCCCATAGTCACCGCGTATCGGTGCCCTGCTTTAAAGGAATTGGATACAGAGTCATGCCTTGACGATCTAACTCCAGGAGGCTCGCTTAGTCGAGCGTTGACGGAACTCAGCGTGAGGGATGAGAAGAAGAAGCTGGATACACTATGTTGTGGACGGCATAATGCCTCTCCCAAGATCGTACAAGGGTTATTCGACTTACGTGGACTTACGAGGTTATCCATTAACCGGCCTCTCCACGAAGAACTATATGGAGGGATGCACACGTATCAGCTCCTGGATGAGGTATGTTTAACTCTACAAG